GGGTGGTGTGCATTGCACTCCTTGTGTATACAAATACCCGTCCCCTCCAACAGCTTTTTTTTTAGAAAAAAAGAATAAACTTAGATTCTATTGAAGACAAGCAATTTCAATGTGATAAAAAATAAAACAAATACATAATATTTGAACCATAATGGGATAGTTAGAACAGGGCAGTAATATCCAGCAACATGGTTGACAATAGAGTATACAGCAACCCTATATTGTGATTGTGACTATTTATAAAACCTACTGATCAAGTGAGTCAAACTATCAGAACAGCTCTATGTTCGGTCAACAACTTCTAAGAAACATGAACAAAATACATACTTACAGATTTTTAAGAATATGATATTTGAGTAGGAAAAATGTTATCTAAATAACAATATCTAAACCTGTCATATTCCTTCAGGAGAAAACAGAGAAATAATAAATGGAAAGAATACAAAACCAAATATACGGCATCTAAAATTATTTTAATGAGCTTATAGTGTGATAAAATGCCAAAAATTAAATACAACTCAATGTCATTTTCATTCTACCAGGATGCTACATGATTATTAATGATATGCAAAAATAATTATGCTCTCCAAATGAAATATAGGGTAGGCTTGCAGGCACCATTGAGCATAATCCAGTCACTAGTAAGTAACCTGATGTGCTTTTTCTGCCCAATTTAACATCACCGCAGGCTTTCTCACTATCCTCCTTAACAAGTTGAGAGCATAAGCAGGAGATGAGTCCATTTATCCAGAAAATCAGTTGCAACACTACTTTGTCCCTCTTGAAACTACTACCTCACTTTTAAAATGCCCATAAGCATGAATGAAATGGAGTCATAATCTGAATGAAATCAAACTTCCCATCATAGAAAATGAAGGCTAGAGACACTTTCTTCTATCATGGTATTTCTAACTGATAGATTGTTTTTGTTTGTCGGTAAAATGTGGGATTAATAGGCAATCTTTCAGGTAGCTTTAAAAAATCTCAAACAGAAAGTAATGTTTCTCAAAACTAGATGTGGAGGTAATGTAATTATGATTGGCTATGAGGCCTAGCAAAAAAGAAATAATTTTGAAAATCATTACGGGAAAGAATCTCTCAGTCTAATTCCCATCCTGGAAATCCCCAGATTTCCTTGCCAACCACTGACAATTTTTAGATTACAAGAACAGGTGAACACATATTTATGAAGTGTAAGGTAACAGTATCAGGTCAATAATATCTGCACTCTGAGTTGCTCTAAATATCTTGGAGATTATCAACCTATTTTGATACATCTGTGTGGAAAGGGTACATGCTAAATTATATTGACACAGTTATTAGGGTCTTGTTCAAGGGATAAAGCATAGTCAGAGATAAAATATGTAAACAGTTCAGCAATCAGATGAATGAGGTGCACCCCCCTTTATCCTGGCTTTTTCTGCTTTATTTTTTTTTTCAAGTTACCATTTATATACTGGATAGAAAGTCTAGGTAACATTTATGGGAAAAAGATAATTTATTTGAAGTTAAAATTGTATTT